GTTATTGCCCTCCTTCTACAAAGCAGGAAACTCATTTGCATAGAATGAGGCAGAGGGTCTAGTTTTTTTTTAATTGCCCAAGGGCTCCTGAATGGCTACTGGATGAGAGTTGGTCACCAGAAAGACAAAGCCATTATTAGAAGCTTAGAATTTTCAGCCTCACCCCCATCCTCCAGGGAAGGGCGAGAGGCTGGAAATGGAGTTAATAATTGATCATGCCTATGTGAGGAAGCCTCCCTAAAATCCCAATGGTAGGGGGATGGGAGAACTTCCAGGCTGGTGAACTCATCCTCATCAGGAGAGTGACACATCCCAACTACTGAAGCTGGGGACTCTCATCCTATGTATCTATTTCATATGACTGTCATCTTTGTTAGGCTGAAGGAAGAAAAAACAAGGACATGCAAACAGAACAGAGAGATACCATAAAAGGAGAACAGAACAGACCCCAAGGTCTGTGCCTTATTTGGAAAGGGGACAGCTCTTCCTGAATTCCATCCTTCTGATGTGCCAACTAAGACCCGGATGTCAGCCTCTTCCCTCTTGGAGGAAAAAAAGTTTCTAGCTGTCTATTATGTCACCTTTAGCCAATCGTACCTCTCCATGCCCCCTAAGATAGCTTGCCCACTCCTCCCCCTCCTAACCCCTTATAAGCCCCCACCTCCCTGACCGGGTGTGACTTCCCCGGCCTGTAATACCCAGACTGGGGAACATCACCTGAGAATTGCACTCAAATAAACTGCCTAGCCCTTTGTTGCCTCTCGTCGCCTGCTTATTTCAGCTAGAATTTATCTTACATTTGGTGCCGAAATCTGGGAAAGAGCGTGAGCATGGGGCCCTGACTGGCCATCAGCAGCCCTGCCCCCTCCTTTTCTGACCCAGGACCTCAGCCTGCTCTCCGCTGTGTGGACTGTTTTCTGGTGAGTCCCTCAGTTTCCCCCAGTCTATTTCCCTTCCTAACTTAGTTTCACCTGGTCCATTAGAAATCATAGCTACATCCAGGTTGGGGCATCCGACCCACCCTCTGTGGGCATCTGGCCTGCCCCTGGCCCTGCGGTGGCGGAGACGTCCCTCACCCAGGCTCCCAGGACGTCTCCCCTGACTTAGCGTGCTTGGGACATTGGGCGCTCCTCTCAGCACGATTAGTTGGAGAGTGGTGCAGACTTGGGGAAATCAGCCCTCAAAAGCGGAGGTTCAGACCCTGTTGTGGTCTCTCATTTCTAATTTGGCTACTCTATATTTGCCCCCTAGTCTTTCTTTGCTCTGAGGCTGGGCCTCAGTATCCCTTGGAAAATCAATCTTGCTGGCCCCCTGAGGGAACTTTCAATTTTGGCCTCCTTACTGACTTGACTAATTATTGCCACCGGAGTGGAGAGTGGGGTGAAATCCCATATGTGCAGGCTTTTTGGACTTTGCACTCCCGCCCAGACCTTTATGTTAAGTGTTCAACAACTCAGGTTCTCCTAGCCCAATCTCCAGTTAAAGATTGTCAGCCTCCTACTCTGCCCAGTCCTTCTTCCTTTTCAGATCCTCCAGAGGGCCTTAGTCTCCCACCTCTGTCAGCTAGCTGCCCCCACCCCTCTCTGCCACCATCTTTAAGTTCTTTGTCTTCCCCTGTGTCGCTGCCATCTTAAAGTCCTACATTCTCAACCATGCCGTCTTCCTGCTCCTCTCCTCTTCTGGTGGCTGCACCACCCCCTCCCCCTCTCCTTCCACCTTCACCACCCTCTTCCCCCACCGGAACATGCTCCTCCTGCCCTCCGGTTCCAGAAGCCACGGACAAGAAGCTAAAGAGAAAGAAAGCAATTAAATATCAGTAACTCAAATCTTTATATCAGTTTGTCTGTCTGTGTATATGTTTTTATATGAAAAGTGTTGCTAACTGTAGTTGTTATGTCTCAATTTGTATGTTTGTGTGTCTAAGTGTGTAAATGAAAAATATTTTCCTACCTCCAGATGGTATTAATAAAAATTGATTTAAAAACAAGTGCTTGTGAAAATTGGGCATTCTAAAACTTCCAGATAATCTGATAAAAAATGTTAAGCAGTAATGCTAATTTGAATTTGGCTGAGGAGGGCATGTCCTTGTAGTTATCAGCTGCCTAAATTTACCTAAAGTCATTTAAGTTGATGTTATCTGCTAAATCTTTTAAGAATAAAATGCTTAAAGGCTTTGTCTAATATTCAGTAAAAGTCTTGTAAGTAATCTAGCATAGTTGTTACGAATGAGTGAACTAAACAAGTGTGGCAAATGAACACCTTTTTAATTGTGTGTTACAGTGTGTATACCTACCTACAGCCTGAGAATCTTTGTAGCAACTTAAAACCTTAAAATTTTGCTAAGTTAAGAAGATATACTTTGTGTTTAGTGAGAGATTGTGCTGTAAAGCTCATAGTTACAGAAATTATAAAATGTTCATAAATTTGTCAATCTAAAGAATGCTAGTGTAACAGTTTACAATAGACTGCTTCTCAGTGTTCACTAAAAATTAAGGTACCTAATGGTTTTGAGTACTAATTAAAACTACTTAAGCTAATAGGGAAAACATTTCTGCATCCTAAACAATGTATCTTTTGATAAAAGAAAGTAACTTTGTTCTAAAGTACAGCTGTTTTTACAGAGAGAACTCTAAATGAAAAAAGAAGGGTATAGAAAGTTTGTAGAAGAATTTAATATGGTCATGCTATATAAAATTAAAGCAAATGAGTCTCGGTGTCAAGTACACAGCAAAATCAGAATTTTGTTTTCAGTTAAAAAGGACAAAGTTTTCTTAACTGTTAGTCTGCTCTTAATATTGAAAGATTGCAATGGGTTCTCTAATTGTTTAATCAAAGCAGTTTCTCATGCTTAAAAGTCTCAGTGAGTTGTCAGAATATTTAAGAAAATGAGATCTTAATATTAAAAGGTCTAAAAGCTAAACTTTGCTAACAACTGTGTAACCTTCTTTATTTGCCTTTGAGATACTTTTTTGTCATTATAGTTAAATGGATAAGTATTGTTTCATGGCAACCTATAATCCTATTTAAGCAAGTGCCAAAGAAACTTTCTTCTGACAACTTGCCAAAATCAAATTCAAAAAGGTACTTTTACCTCTATTTAACTCTAATATTTTCCAGAGAACCCCTAGAACATGTTAGAGGAACTTTTCTCATTGGAGAAAATATTTGGCTAATTTGGCTTATTTATCTGATACATATTTACCTAGAAAGCACTGTCAAAAAGAATGATGCTAAACTTTGTTACTGAATGTTTTGTGTTACAGAAATATCCAAATTTCCTTATGACAACTATCTTACAGTAAGCTCTCATCAGATCTTTAACCATTGTCATTTGTAAGTTTTTTGTCATCTATACTCACTGTTTATTACTCCTAAACTAGTAATCAGCAGAACAGGTATTAGTTACATAAGATTAAGTAAACTAAGGAAGATGATTTTGTGGCTTTTTGTTTCAAATGTTGTTGAAAAGTGTTTTAAGCTTTTTCTCTTAAGCTGACAACAGTTTAGTAAATGACTGCCTTTATAAGCAGAATTGAAACTTTATCTTTCTCTCTACCTGATCCCTCCAGAATTTAAAAACTCTCAGTAACTATTTTTATATTTCATGGCAGTACATTAATTTGCACAAGTTCAATAAAAATCTGCTTTCCTTGTAAGAGGACCAATTAAAAACACTGGTTATATTACCAAGGCTTTGACTGGAATGTTATACCTGAGAGACATGTGTGTAAACTAAGATATGAACAGACAGCTTTAAGGAACTAAGACTGACTTTATAAAGCCAACAAAGCCCCTTAGAAGAATTGGCCTGGTACCCTTGCTTACAGAGTTCCCAGCAGCCTTACCAGGTGAATAAAGAAGGTCACTTGCTGGCAAGTGCAGGAGCTTCAGGAATGTCTTGAGAACCTCAAGAAGAGAAGAATTCACCCAAATGTACAGGTACTGCAGGCACAACCTGATGGCAAGTCTGACTTGGTTTTCTGGCCTCAAGAAGCCTTTAAAAGTCCAATCTGAAATTCCTTATAAAAAGTTCCGGCAAAGCATATTTAAAAGAGCCTATGTAATCAATTGCTCTTCTTGCTGCACTTATGCAAATAATCAAGCCAACTGTTATTTTCTTAATCTGGCTACTTCTAATAAAAATGAGGGTGATTTTAGAGAAAAGTATTGTTTCAATAATGCAGTCTTATGTATACTAAATCCAAATACTAGTCATTGAGATGTAAACTCGATCCAGAATTCCAGTCCCCCATAATGGCCTAGCAATGCCCCTACTGGGCCCCTTAATAACAGTTTGTAATTTACTCTTAGTTGCCCCTTGTGTCCTCAGGTTCCTCCAACAGCGGCTAACCCAGATGATCTGGGTCGCCACCAACCAGATGTTACTTCACCATTATGCACCTCTTCCCACTGAACCCCCTCCTTTGGCCTAATACCAGCCTCAAACCCCCACCACGCCCCTTGTCAGCCAGAAGTAGCCAGATCGAGTCGTCACCCATTATGACCAAAAGGCTGGAATGTTAGGCTGGAGGAAGGAAAAACAAGGACATGCAAACAGAACAGAGAGATACCATAAAAGGAGAACAGAACAGACCCCAAGGTCTGTGCCTTATTTGGAAAGGGGACAGCTCTTCCTGAATTCCATTCTTCTGATGTGCCAACTAAGACCCAGATGTCAGCCTCCTCCCTCTTGGAAGGAAAAAAAGTTTCTAGTTGTCTATTATATCACCTTTAGCCAACAGTACCTCTCCACGCCCCCTAAGATAGCTTGCCCACTCCTCCCCCTCCTAACCCCTTATAAGCCCCCACCTCCCTGACCGGGTGTGACTTCCCCAGCCTGTAATACCCAGACTGGGGAACGTCACCTGGGAATTGCGCTCAAATAAACTGCCTAGCCCTTTATTGCCTCTTGTTGCCTGCTTATTTTGGCTAGAATTTATCCTACAATCTTGTTAAGCAACAAAATCTCAATCATGTAAATTTAAAGATCAAATTGGCTTTATTCAATGATTCATGCATTAGGCAGCATCCCATTTGGGAAATAGAAAGGAGTTTGGGGGAGCTGTACCAAATGGAAGGCTTTTATAGGCAGAAGGGGGAAGGGAAAAGGAAAGAGCGGATTGCCTCATCTTTCTTTGGGGGATGGAAAGGCTCTACGTGGCAGAGTACCTCACTAGTGCTGACCAGGTAATTCCAGATTGTCTGGCTAAAGGTCAAATTCCTGGGAAAGGTTGAAATTGTAATTAGGTTAGGTATTAAGTCTTGGTCTGTTGATGTGGGGCTTAGGACAAGTGATTCCATTTTGGGACTCCTGTCTCATTTTGAACAGTCTGTATCCTTTATCATATCCTTTAATAAACTGGCAATGTAAGTGTTTCCTTAAGTTCTGTGAGCTGCTCTAGCAAATTAACAGAACCCAAGAGGGGGGTAGTGAGAACCTCCAGTATATAGCCAGTTGGTCAAAAGTACAGGTGACACCTGGGATGGCAACTGGCATCTGAACCATGTGTGTGTTGGAGGGGGGCAGCCTTGTTGGACTGAACCCTTAACCTGTGGGATCTGACACTCTCTCCAGGTAGATAGTGTCAAAACTGAGTTAAATTGTAGGCCATCCAGCTTGTATTACAGAGAATTGCCTGATGTGGAGAAAAACCTCCACACATTTGGTGACCAGAAGCAAAGTGTAAAGGAGACTCACAGGGAAGAAACATAGCAGGGAAGAAGTGGGTTTTCCCCTACATTGTGTGGGGAGAAAAAATAGCTTTCCCTCTACTCTTCTAAGTTCTTATCTCAGACAGCCTGTAATAAAAAGACAGATTAACAGGAGAAAAACAAACAAAAGTATAATAATATGTATACTTCCTGTATACATGAGAAATACCCATGTATACAGGAAGTATTGTGCACCTCCCCAAAAGGGCCCAAGCCACCACCTTAAATGTCATTTCCAACTAAAGACAAAAGATGTTGGGGGTGGGAAACTAGTTATGGGAGGTTACCAGGAAAAGGGTAAGGTTGTTATGCAGATTTAAATAATTGCCTTCTGCATTGATAAGAGTTTCTGCAGATTTAGAGTCATCCTTCTTTTCCAAGTACAGAGAGGGGGACATCCTTACAAACAGAGATTTCACCTACAAATATAAATGTCTCTCACAAAAGGGTTACTACACTCAGCTTTCGGAGCTTCACCTATGTCTACTGTTTCTGAAAAATAACCAGCTTAAAATAATCAATATGCCAAAGGGGCTGTAGAGAAAATGGAAATTGTATGACCAGGATTCTTGCCTGGCTTTAATATCACCCATTGAATATACATAAAAGAGCCTGTTTGCATACCCACGGGCGGCAGGATGTTTATCAACAGGGCTGTCAGTCATGGTAGTGCCCGCCCAAGGGAGATGTGGCCAGGAAACACACAAGCGCCTGGTCATAATTGATCGGGGTCCACCAGTCACCTTAGGGACCCGACCAGAGAGTTCCTCCAGGTGCTAGGGGCAGGGAAGGAAGGGCAGTAGAGGGAGCAGTGGGCGCAGAGAAGCAGAGCTTAGGGGGTGGAGAGAAGCAAAAGAGAAAAGCCGGGGAGCCCCGTGCTACGCAGGAGTGAGCAGAGGTGCAGCCAGAGCCACAAGCACAGCCTCATGCTGGAGAGCAGGAGGCAGCCCATGGGCTGCTTGTGGCTGTAGCTGGACCAGATATTGAGATAGGAGCAGATGGTAGTCTAGCGCTAGACCTACTGCTGTGAGAATAAACATAGTATGAGCCCCTTTTAACCCACAACTTTCTATTGTCTTTATTGGGTCTCAGCAAATTCATAATGAACTTTCCCGGAGCAGGGAACCCCCTCCTCCCAGAGCAGCAGGGGCATGTTCTGGGATGGCATACTTTGCTTCCCTTCAACAGGAAGGAAAAAGCTGAGTTTTTCCTTTAAGCATTTAAACCAGCTCTGCCAACAAAAGGCTTGTTCCCAAGGAGGAATGGGGGAGGGGGGTGGCCAACTCTCCGAACTGAGTTAAGGGGAAAGGACAGGGTTCCAGTGCAGCCAGCAGGCAGCATGACACCTGGGCAAGGCCTAGGCTGGGGACTGCCCAGGCTGATGGAAGGGAGAAGACCAGGACAACGATAGTGCTCAACTCTGCTAAAAGCATTTCAATTGACTCCATCAAGGAGCCTGCGCCCAGCCTGGTGGTTTGAGGTACTGGTTGTGATAGGGAAGATTTACAAGGACAGCAACCTAGCCCTGGTGGCTCCACTCTGTCTGACCCCTCCTCAACACAAACAACAACAAAAAACACTCCCTTGGTTTCCCCGCTCTGCGGAGCACCGGTTCCCAAGGTTCACTCCCTCCCCCCTTGCCTGCACGCTTGCTGTGCACATAGGAATGTTACAGATAAGGAAGCATAAAGATATAAATTGCTCCCTTTGCCTTTGTTCAGGGCTCAGACTTTTTGGGAGGGCCTGTGAGCCCTCCAGTGTGAAATAAAGCCTCAATACTCCAAGACCTCTGAGTGCTGCTTGGTTTTTCCGTTGGTGATCCAGTCCAGGCTTTTTCAGAATTTTCCGTAACAGTTGAAGGAAGGGAGTGACAAGAATAGAGGAGGTTGGTCCAGTTGCTAGAGAAGACAGCACATGCATCTGTCATTTGTGACTGAACTGAACAGAGAAATGTCACTTCCAGGTGTCCAGCCCAGACAGTTGGAGAGAAAGTAGAGGACCTGCTCAAGGGCTGCCTTGCTTCACTGATGAGAACAAGAGGAGAGTTGCCAGATGTGAGAAGTCTCTTGAATCAGCTGTCTTCAGGTGGCAGAATGGAGCCCCCACAGACTGGGCCTAGGTGGAGGTGGAGGAGAATGGTCAAGAAAGATTCCTTGTAGGTTCAAGTTGTGTTAAGTCTGATCAGAGTGATCATACTATTCCATCCCACAGTACCAACCAAGGGAGAAGGCAGCAGCTTATTCTGAAGGATTCCCAGGACAAGTTCATGTGGCCTGAGATAGCCTAGGCCTGGAAATCAGCCTTCAGAGACACTGTTTCTGCTGTTGCAGAAACCAAATTTCAACTTACAGGGGCCTGGCTGAGCAACTGAGGGGCTGTGGCTCCTCACTGCGGTAGGGCAGAGACATGGGACAGGCATCATGATTAATCTTTCCTGCCTATGCTGGAAAATGCCAAGATATAAACAGTATAGTAAGAACAGGAGGAACTCCATCTTAAGGCTAAGATTCCATTTTAAAAATCAGGGAGTTGGGAGGTAAGAGTCCTAACATATTGTATGGTAATCAGACAATAACCTACCCTATCTGAAGGCAGGGCAAGTAGTCCTAAATGATATGTCCCCACTGCTTGAGGGTAACCACTATCTTGCAGAAGAACAGAATCAAGAAATTCCTTGTGTCAAGTTTATCTTACAGAATATCTAGAGGACTGATTATGGATGATGACATAATGTCTCTCTCTGGAGATAGACATCGTGAGACCACATGTCAAGCCGATGGCCCCCCATCCCCCAGTCCTTTGCCCCATTCTTGAAAGCCTTAAAAGACAGAATCCTAAGCCCTTAAGTGCACCTCTCTCTGAGGTTTCCTGCCCTCACTGCAAGACTGGAGGAGCGGAGGAAGGGACGGGTCTCACTGGAGGAACCCGACTCGAGCCAAACAAGGAACAGAACGGCGAATGTCACTCAAATGATTCAACGGAAGGTCCCTATCCGCAGGTCCCACCTAGAACATGCATCGCAGTACTCTCTCCCCAGCAACCCAGCATGACCAATCATCGGTGGTCACAACACCCACACTGGCCAGTTAGTTATGTCCAGGATACCCTCAGAGCTCTCCCAGCACCCCTGATAAGCCTGTCACCCCTCCTGCTGGGGGCGACTTCCCTGGCCCATGGATACATGGACCAGTGAACCTTGCCTGGGATTGCACTAATAAATTTTTTTTGGCTCCTTTTTTGCCGCTTGCCTGGTCTGGTTTCATTTACCTTACACTCCCCTTTCTTTCAATGTGTACTTTGTCTTAAATAAAGCCTTCTCAATGCTCAACTTACTGAGTTTTGTCTCTGTGCAGTTCCAAGCCTCTTGGGAGGTTAATAAAAGACCCTTTTCCCAGTGGTAAGACTTCACTATTTCATTCAATTTTCTAGACTTGAGCACAAGTCTTCACTCTCTGTTCTACTTCAGACAAGTTAGGAAGGGCTATTGAGATCACTGATTTGGGCTTCCAAGTTCCTGTCGCCTGGGTGACCGGGACAGGACTGCAGCTGTAGATCATGCCCTTTATTAGCCTGCCTGAAAATCTCCTTTCTTTGCCTTTGGGAAGTTCTTAGAACATAATCTCACTCCATCCAGTGCTCTGCAGCTCACCCAAATCCTGGGATGCTAGGGGCTTAGTTCCCATGCTATGCAGATTCATTCAAGTGAACACCAGGTGACCTGGCTTCAGGAGCTGGCAAGAGATCTGCCCTATGCTGAGCAGGAGTTCAGTGAGCTTCCCTTTCCTCCCTATGTTCTTCCTGGCACTCTGCTGCCTGCTTGGCTGCTGCCTTTCACTACTACTCTCACTTTAATGAACTCCTCCCTTACCTACACTCCTTGACCTGTTAGATAATTCTTTCTCCATCAGAGTCAAGAACCCTCCCCTGTCCAGGTTGAAGTTTCACCTAGTGTTCAGGGAGAGACCTCCCCAGACACAGCAACTGCCAGACAACATCACCAGAAAGTCAACTCTGTGAGGAAAAGGGCTCCCTTTGTCTCTCTATCCTCAGCTCTCAGATTAGTGCCAGACAAAGGGTAGGTGCTATGGAAACATCATTTGTGTTGCACTGGGAGGGGGGATAAGGTGGGGAGGGGTGAAGCCATCAGCAGGCCTCAGCCCCAAGAAGGGCTTTTACTGAGTCCTTCAAACTTTTCCTGTTCACCTTCCAGAAACCGCTGCAACCTAAAATTTTCAATTGATTTATTTTCATTTCCTTTAAATTCCATGTAAGTACTACAAGAATATATTCTCCTTGGACAAAAAAGGAAAACTTTGCAGCTATAACTAAAGTCTCCTTGGGCATCCCTGCCCATCCCCAGGCCCACTGGGAGTAACCCTAATTATAACCGCTGTTAGAGCTTTGGTGTGATCCTTCAAGCAGAGCCCAGTTGGCGCATTTACATCCATAAGCATGCATACATGCAGACATAGAGTGGTGCGTTGTGGGTGTTCTTTTACATAAATTAGATCCCACTATTCTTGTTGTTCTGCAGCTTAGGTTTGTCACTTACCAGGCTGCCTGGGAGATTAACAAACAATTACTGTGCGCTTCCCCTGTGCCGTGTACTATTCTAGTGTTACTGAGCCAAGCTGTGCGTTTGCCAGTGCATGGTGGAAAACCAAGCACCAAGGCACTGGTTTTTGCAGAAAGAAAGTTTTATTGTCAGGCAGCCGAACATGGAGACAGGGGGCAGGGCTTGAATCTGTCTCCCCAACCTGAGATGGAGCACAGAGTTCATGCAGGAGGTTTCTGCATGTTTAGCAGAGTTGGTGAAAGTAACAGAATGGGGCAGGACTTTTCTTGTTTGCCTGCAAAGCATGTTAACATGTCACTACATACACTGTATGTTCAAAAAATCATGGCTAAACCCTGCCCAGAGGGAGAGATTTTAGTAGGGTAATGAACAAAAGGTGACTAGATGGTCTGAAACTGTGCACAGGCTCCAGGAGGGTAGGTGGGCTCAACCAGCTTGGACCCATTTGCTCCTAGTGAGGCTGGCTCCAAGCGTCCTGCAAAATGACATGTCTTAGAAAAGACGGCACAGAAAGCAGTAATGAATTTTACCAGGGGCAGGAAATGACTTACAGCTTTTTAATTAGAAGGCTGCCATTTCACTAGGAGCTGGAAAGACCTTAGTGTACAACACAAACACACCTGCCCTGGTGGAGCTCACATTCTGATGGAGGGAGACAGCCAATAATAAACAAAGTAAGTGAATAAAGTAGTGGGAGAGAGTGCATGGCAGGAGGGGTTGCAGTTTTAAGTAGGATGGTCAGGGAAGGCCTCACCAAAACCTGAAGGAGGTAAGTGAGCAAGCCAACCAGCTATGGGAGGAAAGAACATTCCAGGCCAGGAGTGGCCAGCATATTGGAGGACTAGCAGGGAGGTCAGGTGATTCTCAGGGCAGGGTGAGTGTCGTGGACAACAGTTGTTCTTGTTTAGAATAAGATGAAAACATTGGGCAGTCCTGAGCAGAAAAGTGATGTGATCCAATTGATGTTTTACCAAGAACTGAGAAGCGGCTGCATTCTGGATATATGTGAAGATAGAGCTGACAGGACTTGCTAATGAATTGGATGTAGGGTGTGAGATGACCCCAGGGTTTTTGGCCTGAGTGACTGAAAGCATCGAGTTGCCGTTTCTGAAATGAGGAAGACTGTGGGGAGAGCAGGTTTAGGGGGAAGGCATCAGAGATTTGTTGTTGAGCCTGCTAAATATGACAAGGCATGTCAACATCCAGGTGGCAATGTCAAGGAGGTGGTTGGTTAGACAGGTGTGGAGTACAAGACAGAGGTCCTGGCTGGAATATATTTACAGCTGTGGGTCTGGGTGAAACCACTAGGAAACACTAGGAAAGAAAAGAGATCTGAGGACACAGCCTTGGGGCATTCCACCAACTAGAAGTCAGGAGATGAGGAGGAACCTGCCAAGGATGCTGAGAACCAGTGAGACAGGAGAAAGGCCAGAAGAATGTGGTGGCTTGGAGGAGGAGGGACAGGTCAACTTTATCAATTGTGCAGAAAATTGATCCATGGATTTGGTAGCATGTAAGTTGTTGATGATTGTATAGGGAAAAACCTCATTTTTTCCCCTTCCTATGTCAGGAAAAAAACAGCTCTTCCTGGTTTGTTTCTTCCCTGCATGTCTCCTTTACCTTCATAGAAAACATTTCACTTCTCACACTTCTGGTCACGAAATGTGTGAAGGTTTGTCTCCACACCAACAAGCAATTCTCAAACACCAACAAGGTGTCCAGGATTTCAGCTTAATTCTGATACTATTGACCCATCAGAGAACATCAGATTCCACAGGTTAATAGCTCAGGCCCACAAGACTGCCCCTTTCACCCCAACTTCAGATGCCAGTTGCAAGCCCAGGTTATCACTATAGATATAGATCAGGGCTATAGATCAGAAGTTCCCATAACCCCCTCCTTAAATTTGATTAATTTGTTGGGGCAGCTCACAGAACTCAGGGAAACATGTTTCCCAGTTTATTATAGGCTATGATAAGGAGGACAGATGAACAGCCAGATGGAAGAGAAACACAAGGTGAGGGCTGGGAGGGTCCCAGGCACAGGATCTTCTGTCCCCATGGATATGAGGTGTGTCACCCTCCTGGTGTGGATGTGTTCCCTTACCTGGAAGCTCTCCAAACCCTACTATTGGGATGTTATGGAGGCTTCCTCACTTAGGCATGATCAATTAGTAACTTCCATTTTCAGCCCCTCTCCCCTCTCTGGAGGATAGTGGGGCAAGACAGAAAATCCAAGCTTCTAACCATGGCTTGGTTTTTCTGGTGACAAAACCTTATCCAGGAGCCCTCCAGGAGCCCACCCAGAGTTGCCTCCTTAGAACAAAAGGTACTCCTAGTGCTCTTATCGATTAGGAAATTACAAGGGTTTTAGGAGCTCTGTGCCAAGAACTGGGGACAGAGACCAATATATATATTTTTTTCTATTATCTCACAATGATCTCAGGTGGGAGCAAAAGCCCAGTTGGAGTATGTAAAAAAGAGGGCCGAAGGACAGGGGCCAGCCAATGCAGGTAGCGCTGTTGAACTGCTTAGAAAAA